ACAAAATTTGGTGAAATGGTGCCCACAAATTAACTGTCTACAAATAGAGTATAGAATTTCAGGAGGTGATTTATGAACCGCTCTGGGGTGGGGGAAATGTTTATCCACAGAAGCCATTAAGTGCCAAAATTTGGGGCTTATGGCACAGTGGCACAAAGCGTTTATTGTGCAACATTGCAGCCTTGAGAAATGATCTAATTGTCTTTCCCTTTTTCCCTCCTACACCCCCAAACAACAAATAGGCAGAGAGGTTTGTTTAATTATATAACCGTAGATAGCCTGACTCATAAACAGATCTCTGGAGCTGGTTTTATCTTCTCTTATTATGGGTAAACAATAAATTGGACCCAGCTGACACCTTGGTGCTGCTATAAGAGGGAAAAGCACATGTATTGGCAAAAACAAGGTCTTTGTAACAAGCTATGGCCCGTATTCTTGGTTCATGTTAGAAACCAATTGTTTCCTTTTACAAATATAAAAGTTTAAGAAGCGGCACAGTATGATAAAAGTTGGTAGTAGGTTACAAACTATGAACATGTTTCTCTTAGGCGATTCCAAAGATCTACATCTCAGTTGTTCTCTATGTCAAAGCAATATCACATTTATTGCGCTGCCGTGCTAAAGAGACCAGGGCAAGATCAGCAGGTCCTCAGAAGAACATGGCAACTTTAAGAACCGCTGCCTGACTTTGCTTTTTCCACTCCCTTCTCTCTGCATCAGCAGTGGCTGGTGAGGCAGTGTTGCTCACCTGGCTTCACAACAGGGAAGCTGATAACCAAAATGGGAAGGGGCAAGGCAGCAGAGAGGCAGGTGTGGTGCAGGTGTGGTGGCAGAACCAATCAGATACTCCAGCCACTGCACCTGCACCATGCTGACCTCCTTGCTCCCTCTCAGTTACTGACAGTGACCTCCATGTTGCTGCCCCACCCCAATGTGCCCTGTTGACTGCTACTGAGCTGTTTCCCTTTTTCATTTTGTGGTATGCCTTTTCAATTGTAAGCCTGGGTGTGGGGATTATTTAAATTGTTGTCTCGGCCTCGGCCCAGTATACCTGAAGGAGCGTCTCCACCCCCATCGTTCTGCCCGGACGCTGAGGTCCAGCACCGAGGGCCTTCTGGCGGTTCCCTCATTGCGAGAAGCAAAGCTACAGGGAACCAGGCAGAGGGCCTTCTCGGTAGTGGCGCCCACTCTGTGGAACGCTCTCCCATCAGATGTCAAAGTGATAAACAACTACCTGACATTCAGAAGACATCTTAAGGCAGCCCTGTTCAGGGAAGTTTTTAATGTGTGATATTTTTGTGTATTTTTGGTTTCTATGGAAGACGCCCAGAATGGCTAGGGAAACGCAGCCAGATGGGCGGGGTACAAATAATAAATTGTTGTTGTTGTTGTTGTTGTTGTTGTTGTCGTTGTTCTAGTAGCAACCCCGGAAGCCTTTTCAGCATCTGGTTATTGTGGTTCGCAATTAAGCATCAAGTTAGCAAGCTACTATTTCTCGATTTTAAATATTTATTTTTGGACTATGTTGGGAATGACCCAGTATTTGTTCCGATACACGAGATTGAACTCCAGGCCAAGACCAGTCAGCCCCTATGGAAGGGAGAAGCCTTGGCCAACGAACATAAAGAAGAGGATAAAAATGAAGACTGCCAAAATAAATTATTGAACTATGCAGGACAAATTATTACAAAAAATGGCAATTGTTTAAAGCATATTTTTTAAGCTTTGTGTACAGATTTTTACATTAGTATAACTTTTAAAAGTCACTTGTAATAATATGAAGGTTTTAAAATTGGATTGTTAAGTATATAAGGTTTTACAGACGTGCATAAACAAGTACAGTATATTATAATGGAACCAAGAAGGGGAATGGAGGGAAGTCAACCAAAATTTATGGTTTAATTTGGTTGTGATTTTTTTTTCTGTGTTTTTTTTGTATTATTGTTTTTGGGAAATCAATAAATTGTTATGAAAAAAACAAAACAAAAAGGGAATGACCCAGTATCACTTCTTGTGCTGTGCTTTCACCTATACCCCAAAGTTTTTCCTTGCATTGGGAACCTGGGAAGGGGGAGATGTAAACTGTGACAAACTGCATGCACCAGTTCTAAAATTTGTTTTAGAAATTCTCCAAATCATACTAGAAGAGAAGTGGAAGAGAAAGCGGGGTAGAGTCAGCCTACTAAACAGTAATGAATTAGAATGGAGAATCTGGAGGAGTTGTCCTTTGGTTCTGTTTGTGGGTTTCGCATGGGCATCTGATTGGCCACTGTGAGAACAGGATACTTACCTACATGGGCCTTGGGTTCTGATCCAGCGGGGTCCTTTTGTGTTCTTATGACATCTGTTTGTATCTAATTTAGTAGTTATCCAATAATTCACTAAACCTCTGGAAATATGAATGCAGCATAGTGGGAAGTAGTTATTCTAAATACAGTGTTGGACCTAGACAATGTTAGATCCTGGACATAATGTTGTTTGGGGGACTCCATTTAAACAGCCATGGGTATCCTTCAGTTGTGAAGCAAACTTTTTAATTCATACAGCTGCATAACTAATTGACAAAAGCATTGGATTTCTTGGCTTTTAAAGTCTGTTGATTTTATGAATATTTTATATCATTTTATGCAAACTGCTTAGGGGTGGGGTGTTTTGTTTTTTTAATTAAGCAGTATATAAACTTGTTTAATTAATTAATTAATTTCTCCCAAAAATTATTCCAGTATCTGTTTTCTGTATCAAGCCATGAGCTGAAATTTTGCAATAGGAACAAGTTCCACATGACTCAGTATGGACAGCTTTGGGGTTATTCTGCTCTGTGTCCTGGAATATGAGGAGAGGCATGCCTGTATTTTTGCCATAGCCCTAAACAACTATCCCCTCCCCACCCTCTCAGGACTGAGTCTGTCACCTGGGAGCTCAAACATGGCTCAGCTCCGTATTGTTCTTTTTTTATAAAAAAAATAGTAGGTGTGATAATGTGCTCTGTTACCTCTCTGGCAAATCACAGGTTAGTTACATGCTGCTGGCTGTGCAAAAAAGGCTGCAAGTTTCACTTTCCCCAGGCCTGGGACTAGACATTTTGCTGTCTGAGGCGAAGGACAAAATGCCTCCCTCAGGCCCCATTCTGGGTACAGAAACCAGCCAGGCTGGCAGCTAAATCATACTTCAACGCTGTTGACAGGCTAGTATATACCACTGCATGTGAGGGTAGCAGCAGGCTAACTCACAGGGCACAGGGAAGGAACACACAGCTCTTTCCTTTAACTGAGAAGAATGGCTGGAGCTCAGGTGGAAAAGTCAAGGGGCATTGCTGCCCTCAGCAACTGCCACCTGAGGCAGTTGCCTCACTTTGGCTAATGGTAAGACCTGACTTCTGCCAATGAATTTTCTGTTTAATGCATTAAAGCTTTTAAACTTTGCTTAGGAATCAACAGAGTGTCTTGAACGGCAATGTTTTCCTCTGGCAGCTTCAGCATGCTGCATTTTCTTAAGGTGGGAACAGGCCTTTGATAAGCCCACTTACCAACACATGTGAAGCCTTGCAATGGGTGGCCAGGCCAGGCCACCACCATGAGACGCCACAATTCCCCAGTTGGCATTTGTCACAGACAACAGCCTAGAAAGATGCAATCTCACCACCACTTACAACCAGGTTAAAGAACCTTTTTCAGGTGGAGAGGCACAATACTTAATGGGCAAACTCCAAACTCTTTTCTTTTCTTTTTGTGGGGAGGGGGTGCATACTATTGGTGAGTGGGGCCAGAGGAAAAGTGGCCAGAGCAATGGGTGGGATTCTTGCTTTTGTACAGTAGGCTAGATTTCAGCCACACAGAAGTTAAGAGGCTTCTACACAACCACATATACATCTCCATCCTCCATACAGGCAAGCCAGAGGCATTATGGCAGGCGAAAGGCACAATGTAGTCAGGCAAAGGCACTTGTTGGGGAGATACACAGCAGGACCAATGGATGGGCACAGCCAATGGAAAGTCCCAGGGGTCACATAGAGAGGTCTGAAGGGCTTTGTTTTGCTCCCAGTCCCAAGGTTCCCTACCCTGCCTTACAGTACAGTGGTACCTCGGGTTAAGAACTTAATTCGTTCCAGAGGTCCGTTCTTAACCTGAAACTGTTCTTAACCTGAAGCACCACTTTAGCTAATGGGGCCTCCAGCTGCCGCCGTGCCGCCGCAGCACAATTTCTGTTCTCATCCTGAAGCAAAGTTCTTAACCCGAGGTAATATTTCTGGGTTAGTGGAGTCTGTAACCTGAAGCGTATGTAACCTGAGGTACCACTGTACAACCCTATGCATGCTTGCAATGGTGGGCAAAATGAATCAAAGAATCATTCAGTCCAACCCCCTGCAATGTAGGAATCTTTCACTCAACATGTGGCTCCAACCCACAGCCCTGAACAAGAAACACATGGGGTGGGGTGGGGGAAGCAAAAACAAAATGAGGGCACTAACTCAATTTTTTAAAAAAATGCATATGCTAATTTATATGTATAGGTGGGAATTTAGACATTGCCAAAATTTAAATAGAAATGCAATCCATTTCACTATAGTGAAGGCGGCTGTAATTGGGTTGACTGCATGCCTGGTCAAGTCTACTGTTGAGGGGCAGCTTCCAAGGCAGTGGCGTAGCGTGGGGGGTGCAGGGGGGCCGGCCGCACCGGGCGCAACATCTGGGGTTAGGGCAAATCCACAGGTTAGGGGGCGCAAATCCACGGGTTAGGGGGCGCAAATTCATGGGTTAGGGGGCACAAATTACTTGCCTTGCCCCGGGTGCTGACAACCCACGCTACGCCACTGTTCCAAGGCCCCTGGCTCTCCATTTTAATGGTTATCTTTAAACCACTACTTAAAAGGCACAAGAACATGTCAGGCCAGTAAGCCAGCCCCAACAAAGGCCTGAGCTGTTTGGAAGAAGTGTGGGGCGTGATCAGTTGCATGGATTACAGAGAAGACCATTTTTACAGAAAGCCACCTGAGGCGGAAGAACGTTGTAGCCGATTGCTTTATTGATACTGTATTACGAATGAAAAGTACAATAGGTGCATAATCCGGGCAGTTTGACTCTTGCATATTGAGTGCACACAAGTGAAATATTTCAAGATACATCAACACCCATCCCCCCCTTCCCCACTCCCTCCCCGCCATATAAAACTTGAGCAGACAATAATACATATGACAAAAAAACAAGAACATTTTTTCTTTTTTTAAAAAAAACAACAAATACAATTCTTCCCTTCATTTAGTGCAGAGGCAGCTAGGTCCATCACCAAAAGTCTGAGCCTTTGCAAACAGGCAGGATGAAATGGATGAAGCTCTTTATGGGCCAGTAAGACTGTGGAACCAGTTGGGGGAACCAGACTCCCTCCCTCAAGTGTTGTGGCTTTGCACCAGAGGTTGGAAGAAAACAGACTAGTATGTGTTTCAGCAATGTTTGTGTGTCCATTTTTAACCCTCCCCCCCCCCAAAAAAACCACCCCAGAACAAAACACTAGTTTGTAAACGACAAATGCCCCAAGAATCAGTTGTGTTACACCGATAAAGGTATTTTTACATCTAACTCCTAGCGGGTTGTGCTCAGACAGGCTTCTACTATGACAAAAATAGCCATCCTTGATTTGGTTGCTCTTCAGCAGGGGTCCATTTCCACGATTACGCTTGTAGTGGAAGAGCAACCTCACAAAATCAGTTACACTTTTGCTCACTGCAACAGAAGGCTTGAAGACATCAATACCCATCAACCACTCATTCAAACATTACATGCCTTAGTACAGATTCTGTAGGTCTCTTAGGTCAGCAGGTTGTTGAACAGTGTTGTAAGTTTAGTAGTTCCCAAGGCACCTGGGTGATTCGAACAACCAACTGAGTGTTCCATAGGGTGTACTCAATTATCCCAGTACACGAACACATTTCCTTTGGTTGCATTGCCACTATTTTTGTATAAAGCAGGCAGACCAAGGCCTATGTATGTTTACTCGGAAGGAACCAAAGTATGCACACATAGGAGTGAAGCATTAAAGAGAGTGCATGCAAGCCTGGAAAAAGAAAGCCCAACAGCCAAGATGCTATATAAGTTTTGATCATGTTCGGGGAAAGTCTTGTCTATATAATACGCAGCTCTACTTCCTGTGCACAGTTTAGGCTTGGATCTAATTCAGACAAATCAATGTGGGCACTCATTCAAAAAATATGCCTCTCTAGAGTATACCAAGATTTTAAACTTCCTGTGATTTATTATCCTGGAATTTGGGCCTAACATGTTGACTGATCGGGCCCTGAATTTACATTTGCTTTGCTTTTTGAAAAGTTTTGGCAAAGTATGATAAAAACGCTTAACTTTACCAGGTACTAAGGTAAATGATTACACAAGGTGAAGGGGGAAGAAATCAACTGTGAGGGGGGCAGTGAACCAGCCTGCAAGACGCAAGTGTTCCAAAGCCAATTTATAAACATACACTTTCCTTCATGGAACATTTACATGGGCCCCTTCACTCAGTCTTGTCTGCTGAGACTCCTCGCCTCCCACCCACAAGTTGACAAGCACTTGAGCATGTATTCACTTTGTGGACATACCACTGACTTGGACTAATATGCTGTAAGCAGGTACTTAACTGCTTTGCAGAACTCAGCCCAGACTATATATAAAATTCCCTTTGCTCTTTCCTCACTCTCAAAAAAAATGATCGTCCCTGTTCCCTCTACCAAAGCATATATAGAAAGCTATAAAGGCAGTTTCATCATCTTTGAGCGACGATTTTACTTGTCACCTTAAAAAAGGGGGACTTTTGGTAAAGAGCTTCTATGAAAGCTTCTGTGTTGGAAACTTTTTTTTTAAAAAAAAGCCTCTTTTGTTTTCCCCACTCCACCCCACCCAACCCCAAAACATTTTATCTGAGCTGTGTATTTCCCCGCTGCTTCGTAAATGATTAAGGAGCATATTTTTGTGGTTTGCAGGGCCATGGAAAACAAAAAAAAAAAATCCCCAAATGTTTCTTGGCTCAAGATTGCAAGGTAACAATTTAAAACATTTTTTTTTAAAAAAAAACAACCTTACCCTTTCTTAAAAAAAAATTCAAGTAATCTTTATGTTCTTTAAATGTATATATATAGATATAAGGCAAAGCAGGTACAGCACTGATAAGATGTTCCCCTTTCTCTATTCATCTCTATGTGGCATTGCTCTTATGGTTCTAAATGAGCCAAGTGATTGAGCTATAGAACATTTGATTATTATTTTTTATACCACCTTCTCCATACCTCTCCAATTAAGCCTTGAGTTTTGAGCAGATAATTGGGTTTTTAAAGTTCCAGTCCTTGATGCATCAACTCTCTCCTGTCCCTCAGGCCCTATGAGGCAGTGAGGAACAACCTTTCCTTCAAATCTGTTAGGTTACCTCCTTTTCCTCTGGAGTTTTTGTACTAACCCCCTCCCCCCAAAACCTCTTCCTCACTCTAGGGGAAACTTGGTGCTTTAAGTGGTTGTTATTGCTGTCATTATGGGATGGCGCAAGAGAGCCTTCAGAAGAATTGCACCTTCCCCTTTTGACAGGGAAGGAGGAAGCAGAAGCAGAAGCAAGATAAGGAGATGGTCAATTGTTTTGAGCCATTTCTCCTAATAAGGCTCGATTGGGCAACAAGAAATCTATGCTCTTGCCAAACCCAATAGATGCAAAGAGTCGCTTTCCAGAAAAATGGCATTGCATCAGAGAGAAGATGGCAGAGGTGGCCAGAAAATTGATTTAAAACACCTCGGTAGGAGGGTGGTGACTCTGAGGCTGCAAAAGCCAAAAATGAGTACTCTATGTACAATGATTGCTTCCATGGAACAGAATCAGGTAACTCACAAAGCACATGCATATGCCTTTGCACTAGGCATGCTCTGGGTATCAGGGAATGAGTGAAGGACTTAAGAAAAAAATATTTTGATCTAAAATGCATATAGATGTATTATTGTGTTTCTGCATGTGCATGCGTTTTGTGTATATGAGTGAAAGGCAATTAGCTCATATGGTCATGACCAAGCTATATTTCAGAAGAGAAAAAAAAAGAACACACTTATCACACTTTCCTAAAACGAAAAGCTAAAAAATTTCAAGTTCAGTATTCGAGATCTTGTCCTTCCCACCCCACCCTCTTCTAATTTTCTGGGTTCGTTTTCCCCTTTTCCAACTTACATTAGCACCATAACAACATTTAAACATTACAATCCCTCTTCAGTTACTACATACATACACACACACACACACACACACACACACACACACACACAAATGGTCCCATTAAAAATAGTGCTTTTTCTGCCAAAAAAAGTTATATATAATATATATCTTATATAATTCAACTAAATCTGTGGCAAATGTGCAATGCAGACGCCTCCTCCATTAAAGTGAACTTAACGTTCACACACTCTCACTTCATCGGTGATTTTTAAAGGTGCAAGTACATTTGGAATTGTGTAATTTAAAAAAAGGTAGTGGGCCTCATCATTTCTTCTCTGGCTTTTAAAACATGGAAAAAAATGAAGAAGAAGTCTCAAACACATACTGTAGACTTGTGATTTCCAAAGGAAAAAAAACTAGTGGGGTGAAAATGAGGCCAAAATTTTAAACCTTCAGATATTCCACTCCAACCCCCCACCCCAACTTCACTTTTATTGTCAATACAGACATAAACTGGGCTTCTTTCAATATCATTATTTTCTCTTTCTCTGTCTTCATTGGTTGGTAAATTGACAGGCAGTGGCCCAATATTAAATAGTTCAAGTGCCTTAACTGTCCCTTTTAAGTAAAGGCTGAGAATACTGGGTAGGAAAGGAACAAGAACCAGCAAACAAAAAATACTTAAAAAACAATGCCACAGAAATGTTGTTGCTGCCACCGCCAACGTTGTAATCCTGTTTCTCTTTCTATGTCAGTTGTTTGGTGTTAATGGTGCCCCTTGTGGTTACTCCTTGGTGTGAAAGGGCATTTGCCCTCACCCCTCCACCTTGGTTTGGGAGAGAGAAAAGGGTGAGGCCAGGCCTAGGAAATAAAAAATAAAGAGTCCATTTTGGAAATTGTTCATCACAGTTCACTTCTGGCTGCCCAATGTTTCTGAGGTGGTGGTTTGCACAACAAGAGGCTTCTGGGTAGGCAGGACAATCAAGGGGCGATGGATCTTTGACTCCTCAGACTCTTGCAGTCCTTCAGTTTGCCATCGATACCGGCGGGCCCGGTGGATGTTGGGAATCCCCCTCTGAAGGCGCTGTGAACCTTTCTTCTGCCATATGTCGTATTTTGAGTACCTGGCATGAGAGGGCTTTTGAAAGGGATCCTTAAAGGAAAGCAAGAGGGGGAGAAATGGAAGTGGAACATCAGTATGCTGCAACAATGAAATAGAGATATCCACAGTTTAAATTCACCATAAAATGTCACCCCACTCAACAGCAGCTGCAGTTGTACCTTGGTTCTCGAACAGAATGAGTTCCGCGGGTCCATTCGACTCCCGGAACTGTTTAAAAACCAAGGCACAGCTTCCGATTGGATGCAGGAGCGTCCTGCAGCCAAATGGAAGCCGCACCAGATGCTCGGGTTCCGAAAATCGTTCGAAAGCCGGAACACTCACTTCCGGTTTTTGATCGTTTGGGAGCTGAAACGTACAAGTTCCACATTGTTCAGCAACCAAGGTATGACTGTACTATTTGATTGGTACCCACTGGGCCAAAAAGACTGGCAACCTTTGGAAGAGAGAGTGAGTGGCTGGCACACTGGCACCCTGAACAGGAGAACTCCACCTTCGGAAGGCTGTTCAGTAGCATTTCTCCCATGACCTATCAACAAGTGCTCACTGACAGTAAAAATCCTGTGCATGTTTATTTAGAAAAAAAAGCCCTGCTATCTTTATGGTGTATATAAAGTAGGAACAATGATATACACATTTGCTTTATATTGCTTTCCTTTCCCACCCCCAGCAATTTCTTGATCTGCTTGTGTGTAAGACATTATCTGCACCTCACGCAGAGATAAAACTGTTTTGCTGCAACTGCAAAAGCAGCAGATGCTAAAGATACGGGTTCCTGGTTGCCCAATGCTAAAATGCCTCCTGTTACTCAGATAGCATCTTCACTTACCTTGTTCAGTGCTGGTAAGGCTACAAGAGAAGATGACGAGAGATCACGCTCCGATTTGACAGATTTTGCGCAGTAAGTTTCCAAAAGGTTAAGATCGCAGCTCCGGAAACAGCACTCCTCTACTATGCCACGGTTGAGCCTTCCTCTGTTTCTGCCCACAGGCCTACCTGTAATAGCAGAAATGCCACCTTAAAGTTAGAAAACAAATTAAGAGCATTTATTTATTTGCACATGGCACATTTTTAAAAAGCAACCCTAACCCTGAAAAGACAGCAGCAAATCCACCACTACATCCAAAGATGTAGCAGTTCATGCCAGCCAAGGCCAGAAGGTGTAAATGGGTGGTGTTTGTTTTTGTTACACCAGGTTCAAGCTGGCATGGCTATGGGGCTTAGGGAGCAGGATCTGCAGGGCTTTGGACACAGCAGTTCAAAAGCCACTGGTGTTCTTCCTCCAGTCATCCTGTTCTGGCACTTTCTACTGCCTACTACCAATGAGAACGCCCAGTAGTAGCTTCGCATCAAGCTGGGCAAAGCTGTGGACTCTGCCACAAAGATAGCCCCCTCCATTGGTAGTACTCCTCTCCACTGACAGAGGCTGGCAGAGAGGTGGCTATGCACCATCCCGCCCCTTGTCCCCAGTCATCAGCATGGGGTGCGTGCTGTGCCCTTGGTTAGTTAACACAGTAAGGGAGGGAAAGGGGACCAGGGTGCTAATCTTTTGTTGTTGTTGTTCTTTAAGACTGGCCTCACCCAAGTGGTTCACAAAAATATTTATTTATGAACCACTTTGTAGCCTAAGGCCATCAGGGCCAGAGCAGTGTACAAAATAATGCTACAGACAATCCCACATTTTATAGCAAAGTATTGGCATGCCATAAAAGTGTGGGAAGCTGCAACTTCAACTCTGCAATGGCTGCTCATCAAGAACTCACTGAACCTCTTTTTGCTGCCTGCCAGATATAAAGATGAGGACAACAACAATAGCAACAACAGTGTGTCTATCAGGGTCCATGGGCTGCATTTAACTTGCTCAGCGCAGGTCTTTTCTTAAGTAGCCAAATATCAGAGTGGCCAGACTCCTGAAGTTTTAACAGTTGCACAGAAGAGTGAAATTTCTTCTTCTAGCCAACTATTAACTATAGGAGCCTCAGGGGCAGCCCAAGGCATTTTTGCCCCTGAGGTGAAGCACAAAATGCCCCCTCCTTACTAAGAAAGAAGGAATGAGTAAAGATCTACATCATGAGCAATGTGGGGTGGGGTGGGGAATAAAGATCTACATCAGAATCTCCTGCCCCTGTGGATTCTGCCATCTGAGACAGTGGCCTCACCTTGCCTCATGGGCGAGATAGTCCTGAGGGGAAAAAACCGTTCCTAGCTGTGTACGCGTTCCCTTTAACTCTGCAGCCAGTGCGCTAGTTTGTGAAGCTGTGTACATATGACACCAGCCACCAGCCACATCTGTCCTGTAATTTCTTGAGAAATACTGCATTTTGATGTGTTTTCCTCCAAACCAGCTTCAATTGGATTTGAAAACAGAAGCCAATGGAAGACATTTGTGCCCATTCTCTGCTCATTCATGTGGACAGAGAGCAGGTGATCTGGAAACACATTCCACCATACTGATGTGTAGACGATGTGCCAATGTGATTTGAAACACAGCAAGGGAAAATGACCTTGCTGGAATTTTGGCTGCTAATGGATACGCAACTTTCAGCATTCCAGGAAACAAGATCCTTTCATTTTAATGTACAGTACGTTGCATCAACATGCTAGAGTTAAGTGTCTCTTTGCTGTCCTGACGCATGCTCAATTCTGTGTCCACTGTTCTGCAGGTCAAAATATAATGTGCATCATGGCATTTCATGAGAAATTCCAGTATGCTTTCTATTACGGGTATTTGTTTCTGTCTTCCTGGCCTGAAATGAATTAACTTTTCTATATCTGTCATCTGCTATTTTCTCTTTCATGGTTACTGCCAAATATTTCCGAGGATAGGCCACATTATCCAATTATCCTGTTAAATAATTGGACAGGGATTTGACTGTCCAAAATTCAGTATATCCTTCCCTTCAATACAAGACTCCCACCCCCACCCCAATAAAAGGTGGGGGGGAAGCAAGCAAGGATATTCTATATCAAAACTATTTCTGCACACCATGAATGAAAGCAATGCACTTCTAGTGGGGGGGGGGCAAAAAACAAATAGCGCTGGTTAGTTTGAGCATTCATTCCAGAATGCAGTCATGTATACACACTGTCAGGCGGTGAGTTTCCCAACAGCTAAGTCTGTGATGCAAGAGTCACATGCAGGCAACTGAGATTTTGCTGCTAACTAGAGAAGATGAAACAAAGTAAGTCTATAACACGAGCACACAGTAATAAAAGTACTTGGGCAATCATATATACAACTCTCAGATGTCCAAAGCACACTTGCACCAGCTCATCCATCCTCACAGCTGCCCTGTAAGGTAGGCCAGCATTGTCCCCCCCACCCCCACATTGCTGACTCCTTGAGGCTGAGAGAACTCCTCCTTTAAAGCTCCCTTGCTGGCAAAATGAGATCTGACCGTTTCTGCTCCACAGCTTAGGCACTAACCCACCCTGCCAGCTCGCATCAGAGAGTAGGTGGCTGTCTTCCTTTAAATTGTCCCTTCTCCTTTCAGTTGACTCACCTTCATTATGAAGGCTGCTTTCGTATTGGAGAGGTGTTACTGGGGCCTCGTACAGAAGGACGTCCCCCAGCCAGAGATCACTCAGGCTCAAGCTGGCTGACTTTCAGCAGTAAGCTATATTTGGGCCCCTTTGGTCCATCCACTGTCATGCAATCTTTTGAGCTTCCTCTCAGGAAAAGACCCAGGAGGTCACATTCAACAGCACATACAGTCTCTGCATCCTGCACCCACACAGCAGCAGGCGACAGACACGGACACAGTGGCTAGACACTAATTTGCTGAAGAATCAGAGTCCCCCGTGCCTTCTTGGGGTTTTAATTTGCCCTCACTCCCCCCCCCCAAACAGGAATCGCAACTAGCCTATGTTGTGCTTGCAATGTTGTTTGGGATTGTATTGCAAATGCACATGTGCGTACCAAGGAAGAAGTGTCTTGTGTATGTGCTTGCATATAGGGACTTATGTGCCACACTTCCGAGTAATTGTAAGATCCAGCAAAACCTGTGCCCGCTTTCCTCGCACGCCCCCTAACCACCACTTCTGGCTGATCAATCAAGCACCAAGTCAAGCGGAAGAAGACTTTGGGTGTAAACAATCCTCTCTTCCCCTGTCAAAGGAATGTGGGCACCAACAAGTGGTCCTTTGTCAGATGGCTGGGCAGCAGCAGCCATTGTTCCAAACCCCTCCCCCAAAATAGCTTCTCTCCCCCCCCCCCATTTTTCCTAGTATTATTCTGCAGGATGCAGAGAGAGAGAGAGAGAGAGAGAGAGAGAGAGAGAGAGAGAGAGAGAATGTGCTTTGTCAGCATAAGTGGCTGGAAAGAGCTAAATTCTTATCAGCTGTTGGAAAGGAAGAAACAGGAGCTGTTTACAGAAATCAGACTCCTCTTCTCTTCTAGTCCATGAAGGAAGATTCAGGTCTCTCTTACCAATTTCTGAGAGGGATTTAATGTTTTGGGTGGGAGTGGAGAGGAATCCCCTCAGAGCTAAAATGTTTATTCCAAGTACCAGCTGCTGTTCCACACGCCACACTAGGCTCCTTATCTGGGAAAGGTGGGATATAATCAAACATACATACATACATACATACATACATACATACAAGAACTCCTTAAATGCTGATCAGTGTTCTGGATTTTGTGTCTATGGTTGATGTTGGTATATGGAAGCAACAAGAGCTGTTCCTTCTGCAGCATCACCTTTCATACATTTTTGCAGCAGTTTAAGTGACTAGTTTTGCAAACATTGTGCAAAACAAATACTAATTAGGGTTCTTGTGGAGTATCTGCTTCCTAGCCCTACCCAGAGAGTATTTTTAGCTCTCCAGCCCCTCTCTCCAGCGCCGCCACCAGCATCCCCACCCCCACTAAGAAAGAAATGGTACTTAAAACATCTGAGAGCCAAACTCTCTTAGGACTCAGTGCAAGCCTGACTTCAATAGGACTATGATGAATTGCCTCAGCTGGGCTCCTGACCTTTGGGGCCTTCGGACATAGTGGTAGATTAAAGAGCCTAAAAAGCAACTTCCCTTCTAAAAATGTTTTCAGAGGAGACTTCAGACCACCTACTACAACATGGGAAGTAGGGGAAGGACATCTTTTGATGCCAGACAGGACAATGACCCGCGTAGCATTCTTACTATACAGACTCTGGTAGATACTATGCTTCCTGTCTAGTTTATGGCAGCAAACACTGGCAGGTCTTTCTGTGCTGAAGTGCTCCAAGTTACCCTCTGTTCTCCTACTGCAGCAGAACACTTGGACCTCACTGACGAGCACTCTGTAATTTTCTGTATCCTTGACCACCTCCCCCCACCTTGCCAAAAAAGCTTGTCATTTCTATGATAACTCTAGAATAAATTATACCCAGTTATTAAGTCAGGGATCCATGTCCTGGAACCCAGATTCTGTTCCAAGAGTTCCGTCTTGGGAACATATGAAGCAACTGGAGAATGCTTCTGGTTGTGTGCTGAGCATGCTTCCCTCACTGATTTGCAACCAGAAAGCAACATCACAGCTAGGCTTAAAAGGCAAGGTGTCCCAATCAAAGTGGGTGGGCCTGTAGGCAAGCTTTGAGCTCAGTCATTGATCTTTTAAAATGTCAACCGCTAGCTCCAATCCATGCACTTCTAAAATGCAATGCAATGCAATGCAATGCGCGCGCGCACACACACACACACACACACACACATATATAATGAGGCTATGTGGGCTAAGAGTAGCCAGTGCATGAAAAGGGCTCTATGTGCAGATTGATGTACCAATATACCATGGGGGGGGCACCCTCATTGTTTCCAATATCATTTTCATCATTCCCAGTGCACCATGAATACAAGAATGCCACAGAGGCATAGAGGTGCAGAAGAATGCAACGCAACCGGATTCCCACATAGCAACACATTTTTTTAATCCTCTGTGTGACTAAAAAACAAAATGCTTTACAGTGGCCAGTTTCTCAGCAATCACAAACGATCTCACGTGGTGGTTGCAAGGGGGAATGACATAAGCAGCACAGCGCATTGGTGCTCTGAGAGATAAACCAACCTATACTGAAGGAACACTTCCACAGACCCCATCATCTTGTGTGCTGGAGGGATTTCTTCCTTGGGCAAGAAAACTCCTTGCTCGCTAAAGACTTCTCATTGGGAAATTAGGTGATGGTTTCAAAAGTACTGTTTCAGGGATGGTGTTGTTATTATTGGGTTGTATGTGGCTACCCATCAATGTAAGTTTCTGGTGGTAGTGGGCACTCTTTGCTGGGTAAAGAGTTCAACTTTGGCCGAATTCAAGGCAAAACTCTTCTGAAACCAGGCAAGCTGTGCTTTTGCTCAAATACAGCTCTGACTCAAAATGGTACAGGGATCTATCTCAGATAACCCCCAGTCCCATTTTAGGTTAAGCAGTTTAGCTGCAGCATCCATGGGATTAGACTTCATGTCTCACAGAACTTCTGCGTCTCCAGTCAACAGCAAAGCAATAAAGCTCCATAAAGCAGGGCATCACCACCTACAGCATTGCCAGAGGTAAACAATGGGCGGGGATGGAATTGCTTCTCGTTTCTTATTCATTTTATTGGATTTATATACCACCTTTCTGCCAAGACAGATAAGGGCATTTACAACTTTAAAACACTAAAAAATATATGATGTAAAATATAGAGTGACTCCAGAGACAGATTTAAGGGAGCTCAACCGGTTCAGTTGCACTGGGCACAGAACCTCAAGGGTGCCACCATTATGATGCCCAATGGAAGGTGAGAGGCACAGGGTGTGTGAATTTGAGACCCCAAAGTCCGCCAGTGGTGACTCTCAGTTTTACCAGGAGCCCATTGTCTGTGTGCTTCCTGGCTTGATCTCCCTCGCTTCTGCCTTCCCTCAGGACACATAGGTCTTCAGCAAACAAGGGAAGGAAGGACCTTTTACAGACCCATGAGCTGTAAGAGGAAAATGAGTGCAGGAGAGCTGGAGAACTAATAGCACAGTCCTGCACATGTCTATTCAAAACTAAGTCACACTAAGTTTAATGAGGCTTAGTCCCAGGTCAGTGGGCAAAGGATTTCAACTTTTACATTTTATTCACATATGAATACAGGTTCGTTAGTGTCACATTGCCCAGTAATAGAAAGATAGCACGGGCCTACCTTATAGGGCTTCTTTTGAGATGGTATTTCATGTATATGTTTTCAAAACTTGAAATACACCACATAAAAACAACGTCAACAAAAGCCGTGCATAAAGAATATACTTACTGAAGTAAAAACCTCGGTCTCCACAGACAAACTGCAGTGTGTCCACCAGCTCTCCCCCACAGAGGGTTTCAGGAGCACCATATGCAGAAACAGAATCCACTGTGTAGGCCAGGAAGGTGAGGGCAAGCAGCAGTATCCTCCTGGAGGTGCACATCTTCTGCACCTAAGAGACACATGTTCAAAGGCATTAAGAATGGCTACAGAACGGTTCCTTCTATATTATCCAAACAGCTGTGAAATGTTGAAAACGGAATACAGTAGCAAAATAAGGGGGGGTGTCTTTGGTCTTTTTTTATTCTGAAAACCAAAGCAATCCCAACAAAGCATAGGTAATTAATATTGTATAATCTATATTAGTATTAGCTCTGCAATCCATACTAAATCATTTGCCTGAGGCTTTTCCCACCATACCTTTCCCAAAATTGAGTTCTTCAAGTGCAAAGGAAGAAATGACACCTTGCCTTGCTTTGAGAGTTAATTAATTTTGAGCTCAGGTCCTGAGCATCAAATTGCCACACGTGACTTTCCAATGAGATAATGGCCTCCCCGATTGTCAGCTAAAAAGCAACACCTCTATATTGAACAGAGAGGTAGCATAGAGAGAGATCTCTTGATGGGAAAGGGAATGCCTCCCTCAGCTCTTGCAGTTCTCTCTGGATGGCCTATCAGGAGTCAAATGTAACAGACAAGATTGACAATGGGGATGAAGAGACATACGCCAAGGATAGGGCAATACACAAGCAGCTCACATTACAAATACCATAAAACAGGGATGGGGAACCTGCAGTTCTCCAGATGTTGATAGAAGACTGACTCACATCAGCCCAGCCACCAGGGTGATAGGAGTTGGAGTCCAACAACATCTGGCCACAGGTTCCACATTCCTGCCATAAAACATACGTTGAAGAAACCAACATAACAAAGCTCACTGCAGCCACTTCAGTTCACCTTGTAAAAACTGAAGCCAGGCGATGAACAGTTGTTTCACTGAAGGACTCAAGGCAGGGCCCCCAAGTCCAGATACAAGGCAGGCCCCGTCTCCACTATATATTTAAAGCAGTATCACATCAGTTTAACAGTTATGGCTCCCCCTCCCCCAAAAAAATATCCTGGGGTGTGTAGTTTGTTAAGGGTGCAGCGAGTTGTTAGGAGACCCCGATTTCCCTCATAGAGCTACCATTTCCAGAGTACCCTGGAAAGAGGGAAGCTCTGTGAGGGGAATAGGGGTCTTCCATCAACTCTCAGCACCCTTAACAACCTACAGTCATACCTTGGTTGCCAAACACCTTGGAACTCATACGTTTCAGCTCCCGAATGATTGAAAACCGGAAGTGAGTGTTCCAGTTTTCAAGCGGTTTTCGGAAGCCAAACGTTCGGTGCAGCTTCCGATTGGCTGCAGGACACTTCTGCAACCAATCAGAACCCACGTTTTCATTTTCGAACAGTTTTGGGAGTCAAACGGACTTCCAGAAAGAACCAAAGTACAGTACGACTGTACTCTTCTGAGGATTATTTGGGGAAAGCTGTGACTGTTTCAAGTGGCATAATACTGCTTTCAATGTATAGTTCAAATGGGGCCCTGGCTAGGACAGAAGTGCTAACTGCATTTCCAAACAAGAGAGAGTGTAAAAGCTTGTCAGGGTCTAGACCCTGTGGTGGAGGTACACCATATTATAAACATTTGGCTTCCCCTCCCCCAAAAAGGCCACAAGTTTCTAAGTTTCTATGCCAAAAATAAAGGTATTTTATATATATATATATATATATATATATATATATAATTAGTGCCATATAATGACTTATATAATGAGTCTACTGGAGAGATATACAAATATAAACAATAACAATATATTGCACCATATCAATAAAATACAAGTATATAATAGCACAAAACAACCATATTACGATAATAACTGCACCAATTAAATGTGTTATGAAGATCATGATTCACCAAGCATGTGTCAACTGATAAAAGTCTTTAGTGGCATACAAGTAAAGAGGGACATCTCTTTACTTTTGAGCAGGAGCTCTAAAGGGTGTAATTATATTTGTGGCATGCTCCAAAAAGTTATTTTGTACAGTTATTTTTTTAAAAATGAAACAATCTGTTGCTCTTTTAAAGTACAGCAACACCTGGTAAAAACCAATTCAACAACAGCTTGTCCTCAAATAATATTTGGTGGTCTATAACAACACGTTGCTCCTCCTGTTCAGTGAAATCAGGGCACCTTCTTTGTCAATCATAAATTTCAAAAGTGGGTATTTTGACCTATCAAATATAGCTCCCCTAATTGCTAGACTGTTGCTCTGGACAACTTTAAACCAGACTTAACACCGCCTTCAGAGACAGCACTGCTGTTCTTTGGAAAGTCTAGCTAACGTATGGTCATCATTCACAACAGCACAAGGCAGACAGGGTGACCTTTCGTAGAGTTGGAATGAATCCCACCAGTGATCTAGTTCAATCTATTCCTGGCTTAGCCCCAAGCTTTCTAATGTGACCCTAGACAGAGTCCAAGGCCGGCTTTCTATCCATTAATCCATACCACCTATCCTGGATTACCAACTTTCTAGTAACTTACAGTCGACTCAGTCCCCAGTGGAGGAGTCCCACAATGCAGATGCAGGGAAATAATTGCTGTACTAGGCAGGAGCAACACAGTGATGGCCCAAAGGTAGTTTGGTATATTATTTCAAAACAATTTGATTTGGTCTTGAATCAAGTGCTGTTCCATAAGATTCACCTTGGAATTAAAAATCTTAAAATGCTTTCCCCTTTATACCCAGAATAATGATATTAATAAATTGGTGTGTGCGTCAACTTGTAGGTCATGAAATCTATTAATGAAAGCAGTGTCTGTCCAAAGTATTTTAGGATCACACAACTAAGCTCCTTGAGGGATAAATATATTTGTGCTTATTTCGGTACAGTATGTTAACCTTTGCAGTTCCCCTATTTTGCCTCCCATATAGTCTGGAAGCAGCACAATGAAATAATGGTTTAATGTGTGCATGCTACCAACATCTTCTGCCTCTGTTAATGGTTAACACTGCACTGAGTCGAGTCTAAACCAACACCACCTATCAGTTTACAACACATGGTGATTTGATTTTCCTTCATTATTAGAGAGCTGCTGTGATTTGGCATGCAGTACTGCATGCAAGCATCTGTGTGGCTAAGTGGCCTCTCTAAGTGATTTTTGTCAACAGAGAGGCTCAGCTTGCTCAAAGCAATTGGTCCAAATCAATGGTATAGATTTAGCCTGTCCTATATTAATTCTGGAAGGTGCAAGTATTGCAGACTATCCAGGCTTCTAAACAAAGAAATAACCATAACAACCAGTAACAAGGTGTTTGCAATGCACTATTTTAGCGTTTTGCTATATTCACCCACATTACAGGTATGATTACTGTTATCCCCTTCCCCTTCTAGGGATTCAGTATTTCTTAAAGAAAATAAAGGAGATATTGTTGCAAATAGAGATCTGTGAGCAGGACCTCCTGTGTTGTGACTGTAGCTGTGGAATAGGGGAAGGATGTTAACTGTGCTGCCAGGGAAGAGAGGGCTTAGGTCTCTGTGCCATTTTCCTGGTTAAGAACAAACCATAGCCCCAATCTGCATCACAGGGCAAAACATATGGGTACCTGTAAGTGCAGCCATCACCAAGGACAGGATTTAGCTTTCAGAGCACCGTGTTGCCTTTCCAGCTGTCCACGGGAACATGCCAGAAGTTGAAATCCTGAGTGTGGTGGTGGGTGCCACAGTTGTGAAGCCAACAAGTGACTTGGTGAACTGCCCAAAACTCAGAGGCTAAGTAGAGGCAGAAATTCTGCCACACAGTCCCAAATGTCCCAGTGAGCTACCTGTGCTCCCTAGCCCTACCTACGCTGCATCAGATGAAGCAAAAGTCCCGCCAGCCTACCTGGGCTCATCTTGTAGGCCGCATGTGTAGGCCGCAGTCCTGTGTTCCGTTGTCCGTAAGGACAACCCAAAATCCCAGCTGCCAATTAACTTCTGCCTCATGTTGTTAGTTTAACCACCTTGTCATTGACCCTGGTCACAGTTAGTCGCCCACAAGTGGTTGCTTAATTCTGACAAACTGGCTAAGCAAGTGTGTGTCTTTTCCAGGAAGCCTCAAAACTGGAATCCGCGTCTGAAGTTCACAAGTTATTTGGGGGGGTTGGAAGGCATCTCTGCAGACATACATTGTAACCACGCACACACTGCAGCCTAGTCTATTGGCCAATAGACTATTAGCCAATCCCACAGAGTGCTTCTTTCAAGCCTAACTTGGGAGAAGGAAAGACCCTGTGGGCACCAGAGAAGACCTCTGGGCTCACCTGCAGGCACCACTCTGGCCATTCCCGCGCTATCCCTCTACGCTATGTGGGCATTGCACTGACAGGAGATAGGTGATGTGGCTCTTCAAATGGCTTGGCATGTCAACAATGCAGACACCCCCACTCATAACAATATCTTGGCAAAACTCAGAAATAACGGCATAGAAAAATGCAAGTGGGGAGATGTAAACCCAAATGAAGAAACTATTTCACCCCCACTTCCTCACTTCTCACCACATATTCTGTCTGCTAGCTTATCTCCACCTTTCTCTTGAAGTAGAAGTCAATGGTACTTTTAACTGAGCAGCCAGAGAACTCTTCCATGGTTCTAGGTAACCAACTTTCCAGTCTATCCTTTGATCCCGTTATTAAACTATTCTCTCCTGCCCAAGCCACAGCCCAGGAGCTAATGCAGGCACCTTGAGAGGAGGAAGCAACTGTTTTGTCATCAGCAGCAGTAATTTCAGATAATGTTCAGACTGCAATTAGAATGGCTTCCCCTCACCACAGAACTGATCCATTTTCCATTTGAATAGAATTCCCTCTTCCTCACAATAGCTCCTTCCCTTCCTCCCCTTAGGCCAAAAGTGAACAAGCTACACTTACATTATTCTCTTGCTGGTGGTTTCTGTTAGGAGAGCCATTTCTGAAGCATCCTGAAATAAACGCTGTGCAAAGGGGAGTATGGTACTTGTACTGTAACCTAAGCCAACACCAAAATGGACGCCCTGCATGATCCCATCCTCTGATCTCTCCTCCCACATTTAAATGCTGTGCTTTTCAGATACAACTCAGCAATGTTCACCTTGGGCAGATTTCCTA